CAACAAAAAGTAACTGAGTCAACTCCCATTTTGTATTTGATTCCCCATAATTTGATCCCACCCCTCTCCCCAACACCCTAGCATTTACTTCTTTTACAACCCCATCTATAAATATATTAAACAACCATGGTGACATTACACATCCTTGTCTAAGACCTACTTTTACCGGGAAGTAATCTCCCTCTCTTCTACACACCTTAACCTGAGCCTCACTATCCTCATAAAAACTCTTTACAGCATTTATTAACTTACTAGCTATTCCATATACTTGCAACATCTGCCACATTGCTCCCCTATCCACTCTATCATATGCCTTTTCTAAATCCATAAATGCAATGAAAACTTCCCTACCCTTATCTAAATACTGTTCACATATATGCTTCAATGTAAACACTTGATCTACACATCCCCTACCCACTCTAAAGCCTCCTTGCTCATCCACAATCCTACTCTCTGTCTTACCTCTAATTCTTTCAATAATAACCCCACTGTACACTTTTCCTGGTATATTCGGTAAACTTTTTTTTTCTTACAAGTTGGCCGTCTCCTACCGAGGCAGGGTGACCCAAAAAGAAAGAAAATCCCCAAAGAGAAAATACTTTCATCATCATTCAACACTTTCACCTCACTCATACACAATCACTGTTTTTGCAGAGGTGCCCAGAACACAACAGTTTAGAAGCATATACGTATAAAGATAAACTTATTCCCCTATAATTCTTACAATCTTTTTTGTCCCCCTTCTCTTTATATAAAGGAACTATACATGCTCTCTGTCAATCGCTAGGTACCTTCCCCTCTTTAATACATTTATTAAACAAAAATACCAACCACTCCAAAACTATACCCCCCCCCCCTGCTTTTAACATTTCTGTCATGATCCCATCAGTTCCAACTGCTTTACCCCCTTTCATTCTATGTAATGTCTCATGCACCTCCCTCACACTCGCATTCCTGCTCTTCTTCACTCCTAAAAGATGTTATACCTTCCTGACCAGTGCATGAAATTACCGCCTCCCTTTCTTCATCAACATTTAAAAGTTCCTCAAAATATTCCCACCTTTCTACTCAATACCTCCAGCTCCCCATTTACTAACTCCCCTACTCTGTTTTTAACTGACAAATCCATTCGTTCCCTAGGCTTTCTTAACTTGTTTATCTCACTCCAAATTTTTTTTCTTTTTATCAAAATTTCTTGAATGCCTCTCCCACTCTATCATCTGCTCTCCTTTTGCACTGTCTCACCACTCTCTTCACCTTTCTTTTACTCTCCATAAACTCTGCTGTTCTTATAACACTTCTGATATTATAATTTATATTATAACTTCTTATAACACTTCTGATATTATATTATTGTGTGTGATGTGGAAAGCATGGGTCACAAGGCAAATTTTCAGAGTGGGTCAATGATGTGTTTGACCCAAGTGTGAAAAAATACATCCTGGAAAATAAATTGCCACTCAAGTGCCTTCTGATACTGGACAATTCTCCTTTTCATCCTCCAGACTTGGAAGACCGGTTGTTTAGGGACTTCAGATTTATAACAGTGAAGTTCTTGTCCCCTAACACCATTCCTCTCATCCAGCCCATGGACCAGCAGGTTATTTCTAACTCAAAAAACTCTATACCAAAGCAGTGTCTCAAAGGTGCTTTGAAGCGACCTTGGACACAAATTTGACCCTAAGAGAGTTCTGGAGGAATCACTTCAATGTCCTCCATTGCATAAGCCTTATAGGTAAGGCTTGGGAGGGAGTGACTTCCAGGACTTTGAACTCTGTTTGCAGAAAATTGTGGCCAGGTTGTGTCCAAGAGAGGGATTTTGAAGGGTTTGAGGCTGACCCTGAGGACCCTCTGTCTGCTGTGGATTCTATTGTGGCATTGGGAAAGTCCATGGGGTTGGAGGTTAGTTCACAAATAACCCGCACATAGAAGAGAGGAGCTTACAACATTTCAGTCCGACTTGGACCATTTACAGTCACACTAACAAAAAGGAGAGAAGGAAGGGGTAAATATAGGCAGGAGGTGGTAGTAGTAGTAGTGGAAGGAAAGAGCTAACCACTGGAGAGCTGTAAGAGCTGTAAGAGCTTCAACTCAAACAGCAACAGACTGCAGCTGAGGAACTTGCTTCAGAGGAGGAGGAAGAGGGAGTGAAAGAAGTGCCTTCTTCAGAGATTAAAGAAGTGTGTGCAATGTGGAGTAGGGTGCAAACTTTTGTAGAGAAATACCACCCTGACCAAGCTGAAGCAAGCCATATCTGCAACATGTTAAGTGACAAAACTCTGTCCCACATCAGGGAAATCTTAAAGAGACGCCAGAAACAGAGCACTCTTGACAGTTATTTTGTGCGACAGGTGTGCAATGACTCTCAAGCTGGTTCTAGTGGCATTAACAGACAAAGAAAGGACATAACCCCAGAGAGGGACTTGTTACCTGAAATCATTATGGAGGGAGATTACCCTTCCATACAATAACCCCAGCTCCCTCTCTCCTCCTCCCTATCTTCCATAAGTCAAGAAGAGTCATCAATAAAGGTATGTAATACTGATTTAATTGTTGAAAGAGGGGAAGGTACCCAGGGATTGGCAGAGAGCATGTATGGTCCCTTTATATAAAGGGAGGGGGGACAAAAGAGATTGTAAAAATTATAGAGGAATAAGTTTACTGAGTATATCAGGATAAGTGTACGTTAGGGTTATTATTGAAAGAATTAGAGGCAAGACAGAATGTAGAATTGCGGATGAGCAAGGAGGTTTTAGAGTGGGTAGAGGATGTGTAGATCAAGTGTTTACATTGAAGCATATATGTGAGCAGTATTTAGATAAAGGTAGGGAAGTTTTTATTGCATTTATGGATTTAGAAAAGGGATATGATAGAGTGGATAGGGGAGCAATGTGGCAGATGTTGCAAGTATATGGAATAGGTGGTAAGTTACTAAATGCTGTAAAGAGTATTTATGAGGATAGTGAGGCTCAGGTTAGGGTGTGTAGAAGAGAGGGAGACTACTTCCCGGTAAAAGTAGGTCTTAGACAGGGATGTGTAATGTCACCATGGTTGTTTAATATATTTATAGATGGGGTTGTAAAAGAAGTAAATGCTATGGTGTTCGGGAGAGGGGTGGGATTAAATTATGGGGAATTAATTACAAAATGGGAAGTGACAGTTACTTTTTGCTGATGATACTGTGCTTATGGGAGATTCTAAAGAAAAATTGCAAAGGTTAGTGGACGAATTTGGGAATGTGTGTAAAGGTAGAAAGTTGAAAGTGAACATAGAAAAGAGTAAGGTGATGAGAGTATAGAAGAAGTGAATGTTTTCAGATATTTGGGAGTTGACGTGTCAGCGGATGGATTTATGAAGGATGAGGTTAATCATAGAATTGATGAAGGAAAGAAGGTGAGTGGTGCATTGAGGTATATGTGGAGGCAAAAAAATGTTATCTATGGAGGCAAAGAAGGGAATGTATGAAAGTATAGTAGTACCAACACTTTTATATAGGTGTGAAGCTTGGGTTGTAAATGCTGCAGCAAGGAGGCGGTTGGAGGCAGTGGAGATGTCCTGTCTAAGAGCAATGTGTGGTGTAAATATTATGCAGAAAATTCGGAGTGTGGAAATTAGGAGAAGGTGTGGAGTTAATAAAAGTATTAGCCAGAGGGCTGAAGAGGGTTTGTTGAGGTGGTTTGGTCATTTAGAGAGAATGGATCAAAGTAGAATGACATGGAGAGTGCATAAATCTGTAGGGGAAGGAAGGCGGGGTAGGGGTCGTCCTCGAAAAGGTTGGAGGGAGGGGGTAAAGGAGGTGTTGTGGGCGAGGAATTTGGACTTCCAGGAAGTGTGCATGAGCGTGTTGGATAGGAGCGAATGGAGACAAATGGTATTTGGGACCTGACGATCTGTTGGAGTGTAAGCAGGGTAATATTTAGTGAAGGGATTCAGGGAAACCGGTTATTTTATATAACTGGACTTGAGTCCTGGAAATGGGAAGTACAATGCCTGCACTCTAAAGGAGAGGTTTGGGATATTAGCAGTTTGGAGAGATATATTGTGTATTTTTTATACGTATATACTTCTAAACTGTTGCTTTCTGGGCACCTCTGCAAAAACAGTGATTGTGTGTGAGTGAGGTGAAAGTGTTGAATGATGATGAAAGTATTTTCTTTTTGGGGATTTTCTTTCTCTTTGGGTCACCCTGCCTCGGTGGGAGACGGCCGACTTGTTGAAAAAAAAAAAAAATGTATTTATTTTAATTCATTAATAAAACATTATTTTTTGTGAATATTTTTGGGTGTCTGGAAGGAATTAATTGTATTTACATTAATTCTTATGGGAAATATTATTTCGGTTTTAGGCCGAGCTTCTAGAGTGGATTAAGGCCGATAACCAAGGGTCCACTGTATATTAATGCATTCATTGATATGTTCATTTATGCATTTATTCATTTTCATTTAGTTTAACAGAGAAATGCTAAAACAGTAGGGGCTATGTCACCTGGATAATAGAAGACTTTGAAGTGCAACCTCAAGAAAGGAAGGATGTCCTGATCCTCGGATTATACCGTACTGTAGCAGGATAATGAATCCATAGATTGCTTGGTTGAGGATGAATGAGACGCTTGTGCAACACTTGGGTATTTTTATTGTGGAAATGTTTCTACATTAGAGGTACCCAAGTGTTGCAAAAGTACATGTATCTCATTTATTATCTGAACCATTTAAGTAAGTTTATTTAGGTACAGGTATACATAAGTACAATTATCATACATAGTGTAAATTACCTATGAGTAAGTTTAGTTTAATATCTTAATTTTAATATCCTCTGTAATATTTTGACTACCACCCTTCCTGTGGGCAGTAGTCAAAATATTAGAGGTACATAATAGGTCCAGGGACTGGGCTGCAAAGTTTTGATACTGAACAAGTTACACTGATAATGAACTACTTACATGTCAAAGTGACTTGGTTGATGTTGCTGGTCAATATGACTGACCTTGTTGCATGTTGCAGACAAAAAGCTGACAATGGAGCAGATCTCTCAGAAGATCAACTCAGGTTTTGGCGATGATCTGAACTGCATCTTCAATGATGACAATGCTGAGAAGCTGGTGCTAAGGATCCGCATTATCGTAGGAGATGACAAACTTAATGAAGAACCAGAGGAACAGGTAACTACAGCCTCTCCTCACTTAGCAGTGTACTCATTTACCGACGACTCGGACTTACGATGGGCTCTCTGACCAATATGCATACCTAAATAATGTACAGCCTCTCCTTACTTAACAATGTACTCGTTTACTGATGACTCGGACTTATGATGAGCTCTCTGACCAGTATGCACACCTAAATAATGTATATTAGAGCTGATTTCGTCTATTGTTTATTACAATATACAGTACACTACTCTATAAATATTTAAAAATATACCAGAAATGTTATAAATGGTTCAAAGGTGACATTAAAACAATATCAGAGATGGTTGACACAAAGCCACTACCATTATAGTATGCTCCTCACTTAGCGACGAATTCATTTACCAATGTGGTTTTAGGAATGGAACTCTGTCATTAAGTGAGGAGAGGCTATACGGTATTATTTTTTCAACACCCTGGCCGTATCCCAATGAGGCAGGATGATCTAAAAAGAAAAACGATAACTTTGTAAAGTAAAAGGACAGAAGTACAGCTAATGTGACATTTTATTGCAACACGTTTCACTCCTGGAGAGCGAAACGTTGCTGTAATAAAATATCATATTAGTCAAACTTGTGTCTTTAACATATTATTTATAATTCTACCAATATTTCAACTCCCACTATGAATCAGATTCAGATGCATCTTTAAATCCCCCACTCCTCCCCAACACCCTAGCATTCACATACCTGGTTAAGTCCTTCTTTCACTGGGAAATAGTCCCCAGAAATGCTCTGCATAAAAATGGGCTCTTTGCATGAACAACTAAATGTCACCCATCTCAGTACAAACACTGTATCATGCTGAAATAAAAATATATTATTATTCTTATTATTACAGGGTTCTCTTATCTACCCTCTTATGTGCCTTTTCTAAATCCATAAATACAACAAACAGCTCATTACCGTTGTTTCCATATGGCTTACTTTTAGATACTTCACTGTAAACTAGTGGTGGGATGATACCAAAATTTTGCTGATACAGATATTGTTGTAGGACAATACTAATATTATCAAAATTAGCCAACACCCACCTATACTATAAAAAATTAGTTGATATTTACTGATATGGATATTTTGCTATATCCCTAATAGAAACAAGGCCCACACATCTACCTTTCTTCAATCATGTCTGATCTGCTAAGTGTACTTTTTTGTATTACTCATAACCCTTTCAATAATAATTCTACCATAAATATTACCTAGTATACTCATCAGGCTTATCTCCCAATAATTCTTATACTCTCTCATCTCCTTATACAAGAGAACAATCCATGCCCTCTGCCAGTCCTTTGGTAACTTCCCTACATTCACACATTGAACAACATCAACCACTCCAACACTGTATCCTCATCTGTTTTTAACATTTATCTTAAACTCATCTTTCCCAGCTGCTATAATCCCCATTCATTTTATCTACTGGCTTATGCACTTTCCCACATTCATCAGACATATTTGTTTCAATGCTTATCATGTTTTGCAGCATCTCATGAATGCAGTTTTGTATAATTTATTTTGAACTATCTGGGATATAATTGTAGTAATTCAAATTCAAATTTTTATTTCCTTTATGCAGTACAAAAATAATGTAGTTTACATAATAAAATTGTTAGACACAAAAGAAAACCACTAGACTAGTCTGCCTGAAATGCCTAGGCATGTTAGTGGCTTTCTTTCTAATTAATATCTTATAATATGTAAACCACACATTGTAAGCTTTGCAAGGAAATAAAAATTTTAATTTTCATTTCATTTTCAGTATGCAATGCACTGCAGGCAAACTAATCCTAATGCTTAAAGACTAGTTAAGAATAAGTATTGATGCTTGATTTGTTGCTTCAGGTGGACAAGATGGAGGACGACACCTTCCTGAGGTGCATCGAGGCCAACATGTTGAACGACTTGACATTGCAGGGGATTGAATCCATCTCCAAGGTGTACATGCACTTGCCTCAGACTGACGAGAAAAAGCGCATTGTCATCAATGAGCATGGAGAATTTAAAGCTATAGCAGAGTGGCTGCTGGAGACTGATGGCACTGCCCTCATGAAGGTCCTCTCAGAGCGCAATGTCGACCCCGTCAGGACTTCCTCCAATGATATCCTAGAGGTGTTCGAGGTGCTGGGAATTGAGGCTGTCAGGAAGTGTATTGAAAAAGAGATGAATGCTGTGCTTATGTTCTATGGCCTCTATGTCAACTACCGCCATCTGGCCTTGCTCTGTGATGTCATGACCAGCAAGGGCCACCTTATGGCCATTACTCGCCACGGTATTAACCGGCAGGACACTGGCGCCCTCATGAAATGTTCCTTCGAGGAGTCCGTAGATGTTCTGATGGAAGCTGCATCGCATGCTGAAGTCGACCCCATCCGTGGTGTGTCAGAGAACATCATGCTGGGCCAGCTACCCAAGATTGGCACTGGATCCTTTGATCTAGTGCTCGATGATGAAAAATGTAAGCTGGGTATGGAAGTACCCATGCCCGGGGCAGCCATGATGCTTCCTGGTAGCATATTCAATGAGGCTTCACCATCCTCAGGCTTGACGCCCTCTCAGACACCATGGGCCTGTGGCTCCACACCCTCCATGTCTCCTTATGGAGGCTGGACCCCTGGGGTAGGTAGCGGCATGACTCCCGGGGGTCCAGCTTTCTCCCCAGCTGCTGCAACAGAGACCACGGGTCTCTCCCCAGGATACTCCCCAGCCTGGTCACCCCAGCCAGGCAGCCCAGGCTCTCCTGGGGGCATGAGTCCTTATTTCCCCAGTCCAGCGAGTGCTGTGTCACCGTCATACTCCCCCTCTTCCCCAGCTTATCACCCCACCTCCCCAGCCTATCACCCCACCTCCCCAAGCCTTACTCCTGCTTCACCTGGCTATTCCCCAACTTCCCCAACATACAGCCCCACAAGCCCTCAATACTCTCCAACTTCTCCCCAATATTCCCCCACATCTCCCTCTTATTCCCCAACCTCCCCTTCATATAGCCCCACCTCCCCCTCATACTCCCCTACTTCCCCCTCCTACTCCCCAACTTCCCCCTCCTATTCTCCCACCAGTCCCTCCTACTCCCCAACTAGTCCCTCATATTCCCCTACCTCCCCTTCTTACTCTCCAACCTCCCCCTCCTACTCACCCACCTCCCCATCTTACTCCCCTACCTCACCGAGCTACAGCCCCACCTCCCCTTCTTACTCCCCAACCAGCCCCTCCTACTCTCAACATCACCATCTTATTCCCCAACCTCCCCCTCCTACTCCCCAAGCTCTCCAAGTTATGTACCCAACTATTCCCCATCCTCCCCAGGATACTCCCCCACCAGTCCCTCTTATTCCCCAACCAGTCCTTCATATTCCCCAAGCTCCCCACAATACTCCCCAGCCTCACCCTCTTACTCTCCCACTTCTCCCAAGTACTCCCCGACCAGTCCAAACTACTCCCCAACCAGTCCAACGTACTCCCCTGGTTCACCTTCTTACTCCCCTTCTCCCAAGTACTCCCCCACCAGCCCCACATACTCACCCACCTCACCATCTTACTCACCCACCTCGCCAAAATACTCACCCACCTCACCAACCTACAGTCCCTCCAGCCCCCAGTACTCACCCACCAGCCCAAAGTACTCACCCACCTCACCAAAATACTCACCCACCTCGCCAACTTACAGCCCATCCAGCCCTAAGTACTCACCCACCTCACCCACCTACAGCCCCAGCACCCCAGGCTACAGCCCCTCCTCACCCACCTACTCTCCAAGTCTCGCAGATGATGACGAAGAACAACAAAATAAACAGAAGAAAAAAGTCAAACGCTAAATTCACGTACTTAGTGTTAAATCTTAATGCTGGTCAGGTTCGTGTTTTACTTCTGTGATTTTTTCTGATAATTATTTATGTGCTTTAATAGATACAATAAGATCACAGTAAACAAGTGATATTACAGTATGCAAAAACCACCACTGTGAAGAAATAGTGAAATTCCAAGCACTTTCTTGGTAATGTGAGGAATCACAGAAGCACTTGGAATTTCACTATTTTTTCAATGGTTGTTGTGCATGTTTTAATAGATGATTTTCTTCATTCTTATTTTATAACAAATCTTATTTAACTTTTGTGAAAAACAGACAATTTTGATTTTAGGTTCTTGGATTTCAGTTTTATGTTGGTTATGCAAATTCTTGTTAGATAACTAACAAGTTGATAAATGAGACATTTGTGCACCATTTGGGTGTCTTTGTTCTGGAAACATTTTGCCAGCCAGTGCTGAGAAACTGTTGCAAAAGTGTCTTATTTGTAAAGATGGATGTGTAATTTAGGGACAATGGGATTGTTTTTTGTTAATAAATACAGGTCCACATCCCTTTATCTGAAATTCGAAAAGTTCCGAAAACTGAAGTTTTTTCGTGGAGTGTGGAGCATCAGTCATCTCTACATAACTCCAACGCCGCCACGTGGTCGCGTGACCCAGCACTGACAGCCACAGTGGCAGGTGTCAGTTGTGTCTCAGCGCTTGTAGTGTTCACATGTGTGTCTGCTGTTTGCTGATATTTTGTTTTTGCTTTATATTTTGTGACTGTGTCTATAATTATCCCATTATTTCATTTATCAATACATATATTACTCTATAAATACACTGTAGTAGTATTTGTAGTCTCATTTATCCCACTTAGTGAGTATTCATACATTTTTGCTGCAGTGGTAACGTTTGATTATGGGGTGCTGCCCTAGACCCCACCTTCATTCTGAAATTTGAAACACTACTGGCCCCAAGGGTTTTGGATAAAGGGATGTGAACCTGTATAGCATAATTAAAGATAACCTAGAAAAGAAGTATTTCTGGTTAGCAGGTATTAATTATTGTAGGAACAGTTACCAAAACATCCTGTAGTTGTAATCTATATTCAAAATATAACTATGGTCATCATACAACTCGTTTAACATTGTAAAATTTACATTATGAAAAAACAAACATCTTACCATGCCTAGCCGGGTCGCCACATGGAGAAGACCCGGGCTGGAAGTACCGGCGAATCTCTAATGAATGAATGAATCTAACCATGGTATGGGTGGGGTTAGAACCCAGAGCAAGTGAGATGTGTAAATATACATAGTTGGATGACTATTATTGTAGGCAGCTGGCCCAGTGGCTTACACACTGGCCTGGAGTTTTACCATTCACTTGCCTTGAGTTCTAACTCTGCCCATACTGTGGTTAGTTTGCTATGGTGTTGTTATGATTTCATGAGTCATCAAAGAGTTAAACTCAATATAGACCACAAAAACAAATTAAATATGAAACTAGATTTCATTCATAACATATCATATTGTTGAACGTACTGATAAATGGTTTGGAGGATGAATGAGACACATGTGCAACACTTAGGTATCTTTACTGTGGAAACGTTTCACCAACCAGTGGCTTCATCAGTCCAGTACAGAGAAGAATGGTTGAAAATCAGAAGGAGTCTGAGGTGATCAGTCCCCCAGACTGAGGAAGACACACTGGTTGGCAAATCAATAAATAAAGATACCCATCTGTTGCACAAGTGTCTAATTCATCAATCCGTTAGTTACATAGCATTATCCAGTGCATGATGCTCCCATCCCCCCTCCTGTCAGTAGGGAAAATGATTCAATGTAACCTAACCAAGCTGACCTTATGGAAGCTGGTGAATAGTACAGCCTGCTCTTCTTGCTGCTTGGAATCTCACACAGTTGAGTGAAGATGCCACATGATAACACGATGTTTGTCCAAGATTCACTGCATTACCATGTTCAACACCTGTTTCCATTAGAGATACATACATGACACCAAAAAAAGTTAGCATATGAGAAGTTTTTACAAAGTAGAAGTGATGCAAGGAGGGAAGAGTATATGGAGAAAAAGAGAAAGGTTAAGAGAGTGGTGAAGCAATGTAAAAAGAGAGCAAATGAGAGAGTGGGTGAGATGTTATCAACAAATTTTGTTGAAAATAAGAAAAAGTTTTGGAGTGAGATTAACAAGTTAAGGAAGCCTAGAGAACAAATGGATTTGTCAGTTAAAAATAGGAGAGGAGAGTTATTAAATGGAGAGTTAGAGGTATTGGGAAGATGGAGGGAATATTTTGAGGAATTGTTAAATGTTGATGAAGATGGGGAAGCTGTGATTTCGTGTATAGGGCAAGGAGGAATAACATCTTGTAGGAGTGAGGAAGAGCCAGTTGTGAGTGTGGGGGAAGTTCGTGAGGCAGTAGGTAAAATGAAAGGGGGTAAGGCAGCCGGGATTGATGGGATAAAGATAGAAATGTTAAAAGCAGGTGGGGATATAGTTTTGGAGTGGTTGGTGCAATTATTTAATAAATGTATGGAAGAGGGTAAGGTACCTAGGGATTGGCAGAGAGCATGCATAGTTCCTTTGTATAAAGGCAAAGGGGACAAAAGAGAGTGCAGAAATTATAGGGGGATAAGTCTGTTGAGTATACCTGGTAAAGTGTATGGTAGAGTTATTATTGAAAGAATTAAGAGTAAGACGGAGAATAGGATAGCAGATGAACAAGGAGGCTTTAGGAAAGGTAGGGGGTGTGTGGACCAGGTGTTTACAGTGAAACATATAAGTGAACAGTATTTAGATAAGGCTAAAGAGGTCTTTGTGGCATTTATGGATTTGGAAAAGGCATATGACAGGGTGGATAGGGGGGCAATGTGGCAGATGTTGCAGGTGTATGGTGTAGGAGGTAGGTTACTGAAAGCAGTGAAGAGTTTTTACGAGGATAGTGAGACTCAAGTTAGAGTATGTAGGAAAGAGGGAAATTATTTCCCAGTAAAAGTAGGCCTTAGACAAGGATGTGTGATGTCACCGTGGTTGTTTAATATATTTATAGATGGGGTTGTAAGAGAAGTAAATGCGAGGGTCTTGACAAGAGGCGTGGAGTTAAAAGATGAAGAATCACACATAAAGTGGGAGTTGTCACAGTTGCTCTTTGCTGATGACACTGTGCTCTTGGGAGATTCTGAAGAGAAGTTGCAGAGATTGGTGGGTGAATTTGGTAGGGTGTGCAAAAGAAGAAAATTAAAAGTGAATACAGGAAAGAGTAAGGTTATGAGGATAACAAAAAGATTAGGTGATGAAAGACTGGATATCAGATTGGAGGGAGAGAGTATGGAAGAGGTGAATGTATTCAGATATTTGGGAGTGGACGTGTCAGCGGATGGGTCTATGAAAGATGAGGTGAATCATAGAATTGATGAGGGGAAAAGGGTGAGTGGTGCACTTAGGAGTCTGTGGAGACAAAGAACTTTGTCCTTGGAGACAAAGAGGGGAATGTATGAGAGTATAGTTTTACCAACGCTCTTATATGGGTGTGAAGCATGGGTGATGAATGTTGCAGCGAGGAGAAGGCTGGAGGCAGTGGGGATGTCATGTCTGAGGGCAATGTGTGGTGTGAATATAATGCAGAGAATTCGTAGTTTGGAAGTTAGGAGGAGGTGCGGGATTACCAAAACTGTTGTCCAGAGGGCTGAGGAAGGGTTGATGAGGTGGTTCGGACATGTAGAGAGAATGGAGCAAAACAGAATGACTTCAAGAGTGTATCAGTCTGTAGCGGAAGGAAGGCAGGGTAGGGGTCGGCCTAGGAAAGGTTGGAGGGAGGGGGTAAAGGAGGTTTTGTGTGCGAGGGGCTTGGACTTCCAGCAGGCGTACACGAGCGTGTTTGATAGGAGTGAATGGAGATGAATGGTTTTTAATACTTGACGTGCTGTTGGAGTGTGAGCAAAGTAACATTTATGAAGGGGTTCAGGGAAACCGGCAGGCCGGACTTGAGTCCTGGAGATGGGAAGTACAGTGCCTGCACTCTTAAGGAGGGGTGTTAATGTTGCAGTTTAAAAACTGTAGTGTAAAGCACCCTTCTGGCAAGACAGTGATGGAGTGAATGATGGTGAAAGTTTTTCTTTTTCGGGCCACCCTGCCTTGGTGGGAATCAGCCAGTGTGTTAATAAAATAAATAAAACATGACACCATTTCAAAAATTACATTATTTTATAGCTGGAGAACTGTTACTCATTTGGGGGTCATACAGCACATGGGGAATAGGAGACAGTCAGGTTTCATCCAAGGAAGAAAAGAATGTGTCCACTTCCTTGGATCAAGAGCCACTCAAACTTTGAGGCACATCCCTTGAATGGTTAACAATGACGTGCATCACTGAACCCTACTGTCTTTAGAGTGTCACATTAATACCTCACAAAAACTTAGTCACACTGCTACCCTCACCTCTCTTACCCCTCTCTTGGCTATATAAGAGGGCCCCATTTTTATGGCTGTTAGGTTCCCGGCCCTTGGCAATAAGCAAAAAACACCAGTGAGTGGTAAAGAGCGTTTATTAAATGCATCTAAAACACCTGATGTGCTTATACTATTATATATTCAGTGCTCAATACAGCTAGGCATAAAAAACAGATACAAAAGTAAAATAAACAAACAGTACAGTACAAAATAATGCTTACCTTACAATAAGGCACCGGCTGCCCTTCCTTACACGACTACTGTGCAAAATTGGTGGAAGAGCAGAAAAAGCACTGAATACAATGAACAATGGCTCAACTGAAAGCTAAAGAAAATGTGGAACACCGAAAAGAGGATGCTGTACATGAGGGGCCTCCTGTGATGGCACCTTCACCTTTTCTTCATCATACTCTCAGCCTCACCTCTTTTCTCTGGCATCAATGGTTTGTACATCCACTAGCATTATTATGGTTTTCATGTGCAGATATAACTATGATAAACAGTTATCAGGTGGATTTTATTCTATCAATTTTCAATAAAACGCAGCTAAGAATCTGTATACATTTTGACCTCAAATCTACTGAAGAAGACTCCTGCAAGAAGTCCAAATATTAGATTCACCATGCATAGTAATATGCTCAATAAATGGTTTAAATAACTTTTTTTGGGAGGAGGGGAGAGAATTTATTAGCTAAAAGTCATACCAATGTGATTTAGACTAGACAGAACAATCATTTTATCAAAGAAATAATTACAATTCCCATCCAACATTTAATAGACTCACTACAAAGAATTTGCCAAAATGTTTTACTGTCTAAATTTCACAGTACAGGTGTTCCTGAACTAATGGTGGTTCGATTTACCATATTTCAACTTTACGATGGTGCAAAAGCAATTACTTTGGAGATGAAACTGAAGGTAATTACCCAACATAAAGGCAGTAAGTCCATAACGTTTATTCACTTATTTACTTTTCAATACTGGTATTTAGTCAGTTACAGTCATTTGTTTATTTATTCTGTGACAGTAGTTATTTATTTATTTATTGTATATTCATTTTCAACTTATGATGGGTTTGTTGTCAAGGAATACCTGTACTTATTTTTCCAAGCACAAGGACTAATAACCTGATTTCTTTAAACACACACAACACCTGCTGACTGAAGGGATATTTACATAATATTAGTCATCTCAATATGTCTACAACACAAAGAAAATTTTTCATATATATTAAATATGTGTATTAACAAAAGAAAAAAAAAAAAAAAAAAAAAAGGAACTTAGCAGTGAATGTCCTTCCTTATCCTCACTATATAACTTAATATTAATCACTGAAAAATAATTGTCTTCAGTTGTTTGTAATACAGTACTTGCTTACCCATGAAGTTACCATTCATAACAAGATTTATTATTATAACTGAGGTAAGATTTAAATCCACAGTTGTTGTAGAATGCATGGGGGATGGGAGGCACCCAGGGTCAGCCCTGTGAAGGAAACTGAGCTCTCATCACTGACATCAAGGTACCTCCCACTTTCCTGGAGGTTCACAGGTAAAATTACCTGACTAGTTGCATATAATATATAAACTAAAGTCGTTGACATCCTTCAAGATCTTGAATGGAAATCCATGGGCTTCTTATAACAGTGAATAATGATGTGTATTTACTCCAGGAGTTCACTAGAGTGTAAACACTTCAACCAGTATATATCTCATACATTTATATAAATAATGGGTCTATGCACAAAAGGAAATTGATTAAATACATTAGAGACAAATGAACGAGAGAATGAGAGAGAAAGAACGAGTGCACGAACAAGAAATCTTTAAGAGATTAATTCTTCTTTCTTTCAACACACCGGCCGTATCCCACCGAGGCGGGGGTGGCCCAAAAGGAAAAACGAAAGTTTCTCCTTTTACATTTAGTAATATATACAGGAGAAGAGGTTACTAGCCCCTTGCTCCCGGCATTTTAGTCACCACTTACAACACGCATGGCTTATGGAGGAAGAATTCTGTTCCATTTCCCTATGGAGATATGAGGAAATAATAAAATAAAAAAGAACTAGAAAGAAAATAGAAGAAAACTCAGAGGGGTGTGTATATATATGCTTGTACAAGTATGTGTAGTGTGACCTAAGTGTAAGTAGAAGTAGCAAGACGTACCTGAAATCTTGCATGTTCATGAGACAGTAAAAAGGACACCAGCAATCCTACCATCATGTAAAACAAATACAGGCTTTTGTTTTACACTCACTTGGCAGGACGGTAGTACCTCCCTGGGCAGTTGCTGTCTACCAACCTACTACCTAGGAAGAGATTAATTATATTTCATTTAAAACAGCCGAGAAATTAAAATGAACAAAGATAGCATAGACAAGTATACAAATTATGTAACCTCTGGAAAATAAGAAAAAAAAATCTTCCTATGTTATACATTTTAAGTTTCTAACCAGTCTTAAATGATGGAGTTGACACTGTTACAATCCATTCAAACATTATGATAAACCTCTACACTCATTCATTACAAAAATATAAATTCTTATATATTACTGATATGGTCTCATGTTTAAGAGGCAGATGGGAAATACGTCACAACACCATGACAAACAATTTATAATTAACCAACAATTTAGAAAAGAAATCTTGGATGACTTGTCAGTCTGTCACGAACCAATTTCACGTTGTAAGTGTTTGGCAGGCAAAGTACTGAAGGTACTTAGAGCAGAGCATTAATTAAGAAGTCTTAATAAAAGCTAAATATCTCTGCATTACCTATCAAGTCAAGACTTGATAATGATACAAGACAAAGCAACACACTGAAAGTTTTCTCTCCAAATTGTTGGCAGTGAAGAGGCAAGTGTTGTACTAATACAACTTTTTACTTTTTTTTTTAAATCTTCAGATACACTCCTTGCTTTTTCTGAAATTACCAGCACATTAACAGGACTGTGCTGGTTAATGATAAGCAAACTAAGCATTACACCAAAAGGGTCATGGTATTGGTTAGGTTCCTCAAGAATATGACAGTTTGTATTAAGGTTCCTAATGTTAATAAGCTCTAGCAACTCTAGATAGCAAACATCTGCATAGATTAATGACACTTATCACCTAATTTTAAGTAAAGGATATGTAGATACAGGTACCCCTTGACTTACAATGGTTCAACTTATGATATTTTGATTTTACAATGGTTTAACCCTTTCAGGATCCAGACCCCCAATCTGAAACTTGTCCACAGGGTTCAAGAATTTTCCAAAAAATTTTTTATTTTTTTCTCATGAGATGGTAGAGAATCTTTTCTGAAGGGAATAAAACAAAAATTATGAAACTTGATGGAAAATTGACGAAATTACGGTCTCTCAAATTTTTCTGCATCAATGATATTTGTGCATCAGTGATTTTGCTCACTTTGACTCCCATTTTACGGCAATTACATTATCTCAGTTGACCAAATTCTTAGCTATTTCTCTAGTATTACTTCTATTTTATCGATTGAGCAGAAGACTGGTAATCAGAAACTGGTAATTTGGCCAATTTCAAACAAAGTTCAAAATATTCCAAATTTCAAAATAGGGTCCACAATAAACAATGCAGGCATTCTTGGCACTAAAATAACATTCCCTGTTTATTAGTTATGTTTTCAGGCTTTACAAATGAATTCCATTTTGATTTTTTATTCACATAATGAATTTTTATTCACACCAAAAAATAAAAGATTTACTGTTATGCAATATTGTAATAATTGTGTAAATAATATCAGCGCATTTGTGAACACACAGTAGACCCACCAGCTGACAAGTGTTGGACGTGTGATGTCATTTGTTTACTCCTGAACAGCAGCAAAAAAAGAACACTTCCGCTACTTTGAGCTCAGTTTCAAGCCATTTGCACTACTAAAACCAATCATGTCTTTGACTCTGTCAAATGAGACCAAGAAATCATGAATACAACCATAAAAAATATATGAAAACACACCACAAAGTCTCTGTTTTAATCCAAAAACATGGTCTCAGTTTTTTCTCATAAGCATTACGTACTGCAGGATTTGTTTTATATGGTACACACTAACCAGATGTACTCTCTCATATCTAGACCCAAATTTACCGCTCACACCTTATCTGAGTGAGCTGAGCTCATGGCGTAGTACTATGGCTTGGACCCAGGCTTCAAAGCCATAGAACTGCGGGACGGACCTTCAGAGGGTTAAAAGCAATTACCACTTAGGAGATGAAACTTAAGAAAATTACCCAGCATTGTTGGCAAGTCCATAACTTGTATTCATCTACAGTGGACTCCCGGATTAAATCATCATAGGAATCAGTAATATTCGGAATAAGTAACGTTTTTGCGTCAAAATATTGGCTCAGTGCCCGGACACTCCTTGTACAGTCAGTGTGCCATTGTTCATCAGCCAGTGAGGATGATCCTACGCATTCATGCGATACATTTTGTATTATTCCATTCCTTTTAGTGCCAGCCCTTGGTAAAGAGGGTGAGAAACGCTATAGAATTCAAGAAAGATATCATTACAAAATATGAAAGTGGAGTGCGTGTCGCCGAGCTGGCCAGGTTGTATAACAAACCCCATACAACCATCGCTACTATCGTGGCCAAGAAAAATGCAATCAAGGAAGCTGTTGTTGTGTGAGGGGCAAATATGCTTACATAACAGAGACTGTAAATACATACTGGAAGATGTGGAGAATTTGCTGTTGGTGTGGATCAACGAGAAACAATTATCAGGAGAAAGTGTTATGCAGTCAATAATATGTGAAAAGGCAAAGCAGTTGCATGATGATCTCGTAAAGAAAATGCCTGGAACTAGTGCTCATATTGGTGAATTTAAGGCCAGCAAAGGCTGGATTGAGAGATTTAAGAATCTTAGTGGCATACACAGTGTGATAAGGCATGGTAAGGTTGCCAGTTCTGACAAAAAAGCAGCTGAAAAATATGAAGGGGTACACAGAGGCTGAAAAATTAAAACCCCAACAAGTGTTCAACTGTGACAAAACAGGCCTCATTTGGAAGAAAATGCGAAAAAAAGGACCTACATTACTTACGAGGAAAAGGCACTCCCAGGACACAAGCCTATGAAAGACAGGCTAACTCTCATGTTTTGTATTAATGCTAGTGGGGATTTCAAAGTGAAGCCTTTACTGATGTATCACTCTGAAAATCCCAGAGTGTTCAAGAAAAACAGTGTCGTCAAGAGTAAATTGTGTGTGATGTGTGTGATGTTGGTGACGAGGGACATTTTCCTTGATTGGTTCCATGATGTGTTTGGCCCCAGTGTGAAAAAATACCTCCTGAAAAATAAATTGGACCTCAACTGCCTCCTGGTAATGGACAATGCTCCCGCTCATCTTCTAGACCTGGAAGAGCGAATGGTGCAGGAGTTTTGTTTTATCAAAGTCAAGTTCTTGCCCCCTAATACCACTCCTCTCCTCCAGCCCATGGACCAGCAGGTCATTTCAAATTTCAAAAAACTATACACCAAAGCAGTGTTTCAGAAGTGCTTTAAAATGACCTCAGACACTGAATTGACCCTAAGAGAGTTCTGGAAAGATCACTTCAGTATCCTCAGTTGCATAAACCTTATAGGTAAGGGTTGGGAGGGAGTGACTTTCAGGACTTCAAACTCTGATTGGAAAAAATTGTTGCCAGAATGTGTACAAGAGAGGGATTTTGAAGGGTTTGGGGCTGACCCTGAGGAGCCTATGCCAGTTGTGGAATCTATTGTGGCATTGGGGAATTCCATGGGGTTGGATGTGAGTTTGGAGGATGTGGAAGAGTTGGTGGAGGACCATGATGAAGAGCTAACCACTACAGAGCTGCAAGATCTTCATCTGCAACACCAACAGACCACAGCTCAGGAATGTACTTTAGAGGAGGAGGAAGAGAGATGGAGGAAGTTGCCTTCTTCAAAGATTAAGGACATTTGTGCAAAGTGGAGTGAGGTGCAAACATTTATGGATGAACATCACCCTGACACAGCTGTTGCAGGCTGTGTTGGCAACATGTACAATGACAATATTGTGTCCCATTTTAGGGAAATCTTAAAAGACATGCCAGAAACAGAGCTCTATGGACAGATATTTTATGCAACAGGGGTCCAGTGACTCTCAAGCTGGTCCTAGTGGTATTAAAAAACAAAGAAGGGAAGTAACCCTGGAAAAGAACTTGGTACCTGAAGTCTTTATGGAAGAGGATTCCCATTCCAAACAATAGTACACCTCCATCCTCTTCCCTCCTCCCATCTCACCACTCATCATAAGTCTTCAATAAAGGTAAGTGTCAGTTTAGTAATGTTTTACTCTGCGTGTCTCATTGTTTTCTGTGTAGGGAAATGTATATGTCATGTAAAAAATTATTTTGTTTAATACTTTTGGGTGTCTGGAATGGAGTAATTGGATTTCCATTATTTTTTATGGGGAAAATTAATTTGGAATAAATCACTCTCTGGAACGGATTAATTACATAATCCGGGGGTCCACTGTATTTACTTTTCAATACTGGTATTTATTTACACTAATTATTTGTTTATTTACTTATTCAGTGACAGTAGTTGCTTATTTAATTATCTAGCATATCGTATTCATATCTGACTTAACAATATTTTCGGCTTACGACAGGTTTGTCAGAACATAACCCCATCATAAGTCAAGAACCTATACATGAGTAAAGCTTATTTTAGTATTTTTTCCTTACATTCAGAACTTAAAATGAAATTCTGGAAACTAACACTAGAGCAATTTTAAAAGTACAACCTAAATTTCTTAGCTGTAATAAGAGCAGAGCAATACAGAGTAATAAATATAAATTCTAAAATATGACCAAAACAAGATGCCTGAGAATTAATTTTTGTACATTGCAGGAAAATATCTAAAATCCTTTATGATGCTAAAATAGGCTTCCAGGACTAGAACAGTGCTTAAGTACCAGCTGAGCAGAAGAATTTGTGTTAAGTATATTAAAGCCATAGTCAAATTTTTCATATTTACATGGAATTAAGGCAGTGAAGGTAGAAAAGCCATATCTCTAACTTTTTTTCTTTAACACACCAGCCATTTCCCACCGAGGTGGGGTGACCACTGAGGCGGGGTGACCACCAAGGCAGGGTGACCACTGAGGTGGGGTGACCACCAAGGCAGGGTGACCACTGAGGCGGGGTGACCACCAAGGCAGGGTGACCACTGAGGTGGGGTGACCACCAAGGCAGGGTGACCACTGAGGCGGGGTGACCACCAAGGCAGGGTGACCACTGAGGTGGGGTGACCACCAAGGCAGGGTGACCACTGAGGCGGGGTGACCACCAAGGCAGGGTGACCACTGAGGTGGGGTGACCACCAAGGCAGGGTGACCACCAAGGCTGGGTGACCACTGAGGGTGGGTGACCACCGAGGTGGGGTGACCACCGAGGCGGTGTGACCACCGAGGTGGAGTGACCACTGAGGCAGGGTGACCATTGAGGCGGTGTGACCACCGAGGCGGGGTGACCACCGAGGCTGGGTGACCACTGAGGCTGAGTGACCACTGAGGTGGAGTGACCACCGAGGCGGGGTGACCACCTAGGCGGGGTGACCACCGAGGCAGGGTGACCACCCAGGCGGGGTGACCACCGAGGCGGGGTGACCACCCAGGCGGGGTGACCCGAAAAAGAAGAAACAAAAGCTTTTCTTCTTTTTACATTTAGTAATGTACACATGAGAAGGGGGTTACTAGCCCCTCGCTCCAGGCATTTTAGTCGCCTCTCATTACACTTATGGTTTACGGAGGAAAGACTCTTCTCCATTTCCCCATGGAAAAATCTCTTAACTGTGATAAAAAATTATTTTCAACACTACTCGTGCATTCTGAAGTTGCTTTACCCTTACTACCTGAACACTACAATTCCTCACAGTGTTTACACACTGAAATAAAAAAAACCTTCTGCATGTGGTTAAATAAATCAGTTTTAATGTGGATTACAGAATGTGATATCAAATATTGAAAATAAAACTTTCCCAAAGGAGGACTTTGTTCACTCAATCTGGAAAAAGACTTTATAGGAATTCCTACTATTGATGCAGAAACAAAGAGATTTCTTTCATTATCAAAATTATTAACCTTTTTTTCCTTGTGATCCACAGACAAATTTGATTTTAAATTTACTGCAATCTAGGGTTTCCTTCTAATTATGTCTGAAACTGTAACACATGACAACAAAACATGCATATATACAGAACAAATAACGAGGATAAATCGCTGTACATATTTAAATCTTATCCTTTCTCAATAAGCTAAGTGTGTGGTAAGAGGTGACTAAAATGCCAGGAGCAAGGCGCTAGTAATCCCTTCTCGTGTATAAATTACTTGATGTAAAAACAAAAACAAAAGTTTTACTTTTTATGCCACTCTGCCTCGGTGGGATATGGCCTATGTGTTAAAAGAAAAAAATCAATGTATCTCATGTGCTGTTAGATGAGTACTACACATAACTAACCCAACAAATTCTGAAAGTACATCTACTATCTCGTTTACCGGTACTTTATGGAATGTTCGTGGTGAATATATGTGAAGAAGCTTTTAAAGTTGAATGCTCTGAATTTCTTAATATTAGTTACAAAGAACTATCTTACGCCAAGTCAAAGGCTAGTCACCTCACATGCCACTAGTTTTGAACGATTTTCTATTCTTGTAACAAGGCCTGAAGCCAGGCTTCCTTATTCACTGCCTGGTCAACCAGGCTGTTGCTGTTGGTGGCCCACAGAGTAATCACAGCCTGGCTGATGTAGCACTTGGCCAAGATAGTGGTCCAGTGGTCCATGAAAGTCCTCAATACATTCATACAATGCACACAAGTGAAACTGTCCACACTGGACCCAAGAGCATTATGAAAAACACATTTATCCTCAATAAATAAAAACTAAACATTAAAATTCAAAGAATACAAATAAGGAAACTATTAATTCAAATGTTACATTATGTCTGACCATGTAATCCATGACTTGTGCAGGATTTACACTAAAATAAATATAAAAAGAAAAACAATGAAGGCACATTTTAAAAATACACATTAAAATGTTGAAGACACTGCTGAGTGATAATAACATAATACAGTATGAAAACAATACCACAATGGTATTTTCTTCATATTTACAATCATGCATATTACTGTGATTTCTTCCATAACACAGTATATGCTATGGTTATCACACTTATCAAAACAAAGAAATCATTTTTATTCTAGTGGCAATAAGCTTATTTTTGACCCAATCTGAAATAATACCATCATGATACTGATGTAATGAAAGATCTACATCTTCAACACATTCATCTAGTGCTGTAGTCTTCATATTTCAAAATACTACAGTGGTACCTCGACTTTCAAACAATTATGTAAGTGTATTTTTGTAAGTGCCTTTGTAAGTGTATTTTTGGGGATCTGAAATGGATTAATCTACATTATTCCTTACGGGAACAAATTCGTTTGGTATCGGCACTTGAACAGCCTTCTGGAACGAATCAAGTTTGTAACTCGAGGTACCAACGAATATTACAGTTGCCACAAGTTATGTACCAGCAACATACTTATAAATCATGGTATTTTTTTATTCCTTTCCTGCTAGGTGTTTCCATCTCATGTGAAATTGGAAAAGTCAAAATAATGAGAATCAATTAAGATAAATAATGATGCTAATGATCAATAACATCACTGACCTTGTCAAGTTGATCCTATGGATTAGTCAGACAATTGCTACAATATTAAAGCAATGCAAACTTTAGTCATTAAACATAACTTAACATGTTTCTGCTTAAATGATAAAAAATATACAGGAAAATGTATATCGCATTACTGTTCCTTTAGCAACTATATTTTTTACTTGTAAACCAATAATAAAAAATAGTACCAGTGAACCAGCATTACAAAATGTGCATAGCCACTATTACAAAAAATGAGTTATGAAATTGGGACAAATAAACCCTCAATGCTAAATAAAAGTCTCAGCAATAAGAAGGTGATGTTCTTAAGTTCCCTCAAGATGAGTCCAGCATCAGGTAGACATGATGTCTAGTGCACTTGGTCACAGGAGGATACAATGTTACCTATGCTTGACATAGTGGAAGAACCAATCAAGCTTTGTTGTCCATGCCCCTCCATAAGCTTCACAAAATTGATTTTGGAAATAGTCTAAGGCCTCCTGCTCTGAGGCCTCCACAGCCAGGGTCTTGTGTAAATAAGCTACATCCTCCAGTGTCTGTAAAGAGATCACACAATGAAAAATTCATACATCACATTCTTCTGAAATAATATAACACAATGACATAACTTGAATAATTTACAACTAACTCACAAATTTTATACAACTCTTTAGACAAAGCTTGGGGCAGATTTGGACCGTTCTTTCTTCTTCTTTCAACGCACTGGCCGTATCCCACCGAGGCAGGGTGGCCCAAAAAGAAAAATGAAAGTTTATCTTTTTAACTTTAGTAATATATACATGAGAAGGGGTTACTAGCCCCTTGCCCCTGGCATTTTAGCTGCATCTTACAACATATATGGCTTATGGAGGAAGGATTCTTCTCCACTTCGTCATGCTATGGATTGAAATCCAAGAGGCAGCAAGTATTTCAACTTAAACTACATGACAGACTATATACCGTACTGAAGAGAGGACATCATAAGCACAGTTCTGCACCAGTAAGAATAAATAAGAAGGCACAAACCTGGAGTTCCGGCATGCCAGTAGACAGCAGGGGTGTGAACAAGTTGATAATGAGGCGGTGATACTTGCGCAAGGCCAGGTATGCCTTGCCACACAACTCCTGGAACCTGAATAGATTGGTTTTAGTAAGAAGGGTACAGGAGAGCTCCAATACAGGAACAAAATGCAATCTTGGTGTTTCAACTTAGGGCAGGTAATATAGAGGTTGATCATATATGATGTGAGAAAGATGCAGGAGTCATGGTAATTAGAAATTTGAAGCCAAGACAGTAGATGATTTATCTAACAAGGGAGATGAAAGGCAGTAACTTTTAAAGATTTTTTCCTGTTTTTACCAACTGGAAACTATCTCGCTTTATACAAAGGGATTTAATGGGAAATGAACTTCATTTAGCAATAATTCACCTAATGAAATATGCCTAGAACAAACAGCTTTCAGAGGAGTGCTATGTGTCTCTCTGTAGTAACTTTTTAATTCTTTACTTGTCACAGAGCTATCAGTGTAAACACACACACACACACCTCTGGAACTCCTGGCTTTCCTTTGGGTTCTCTGCTCCCCTGGCAATCACAAGAAGGAAATCTTGAGTCAGGACGAATGGTACACGTTCTCGGCTGATGCCAAACTTCTTCTTGAAGTTTCCCAAGAAATGTCCAAAGTCTATGTGGAAAATCTGCAGGAGGGGGGATATTTAATTATAAATCACCTGCTAACATATATTTTCATAATTTTCTTCATCAAAACACCAGGTTTCCCCATTGTGTCTGTCTCTCAAGTATTTATACTGTACTCAACTTCATTTCTAAACACAGGAGAGCCCAGCATATACAGCAACTATTTTTGGTGTTCCATGTTTTTGTAGACTTTCAACTGAGCCATTGTCATCAACTGGTGACAATTGCTGGCGGGTGGAACATGATGGACAATGACTCAATTTGAAGCCAATGAAAACATAGAACACCGAAAAGAAGATGCTGTATATGAAGGGTCCTCCTGTAACCTTGAAAGTACAAAGAGCAGCAAGCCATATGGAAGGCTATAAGCCTCTCTATAGGAATTTCATTTCTGATGTAACATTCTTAATCCCACTTTCTTTCTCTTTTAGAAATCAAGAAAGTTACAGATTATCCTCATTAACACAGCTTCTAACACTAAGCTAGAGTAATATATCTCACAAAGTATATTAGGTACTCTTTTTCAAATACTCATTTCACATTAAATGTTAGAAAATAATAAACACATTCTTTTTTTAACACACTGGCTGTCTCCCACCGAGGCAGGGTGACCCGATAAAGGAAAACCAGTTTTTCTTCTTTTAACATTTAGTAATTTATACAGAAGAAAGGGTTACTAACGCCTTGCTCCCAGCATTTTAGTCACCTCTTACGACACACATGACTTAGGGAGGAAGGATTCTTCTCCCATGGAGAAACACTAATACAGTGAACCCCCGACTTATGAAGGCCTCATCTTACGATAGAATCGACTTATGAAGCATTTCAGATTAAAAAATTTCCCCCGACGTACGAACAAAAACTTGGCTTACATCATTCTTCCCGAATGTGTCCACGTGTCCCGTCTGGCCTGAGTGCACTTTAGCTGCCCTGCCTTCAGTTAGTATGCCAGTGTTTACAATCCAGTGCGGTCGTGTCCATGCATACATTCTGTACATTTTGTATTATTCAATTGTTTTTAGTGCTTGTAAGTGCTAAATAAGTCACCACTGACCCCAAGAAAGCTTCTAGTGCCAACCCTGTGGCAAAAAGGGTGAAAATTACTATAGAAATGAAGAAAGAGATAATCACAAAATATGAGAGTGGAGTGCGTGTCTCCGAGCTGGCCAGGTTGCACAATAAACCCCAATCAACCATCGCTTCTATCTTGGCCAACAAAAAAGCAATCAAGGAAGCTGTTGTTGCAAAAGGTGCAAGTATCTTTTCGAAACACTGAGGAAATTGAGAGAGTGTTATTGGTGTGGAAAAACAAAAAACAAACATCAGGAGACAGCATCTCTCAAGTGATTATATGTGAAAAGGCAAGGCAGTTACATGATGATTTAATAATAAAAAAAAATGCCTGCAACTAGTGGTGATGTGAGTGAATTTAAGGCCAGACTGAAGGATCGTAGTGGCATACACAGTGTGGTAAGGCATGGTGACGCTGCCAGTTCGGACAAAAAAGCGGCTGAAAAATATGTGCAGGAATTCCAGGGGTACATAGAGGCTGAAGGACTGCAACCCCAACAAGCGTTTAACTGTGAAAAATTACCTCCTGGAAAATAAATTGGACCTTAACTGCCTCCTGGCATTAGACAATGCTCCTGCTCATCCTTCAGACTTACCAGAGCGAATTTCAGGGGACTTTAGTTTTATAAAAGTGAAATTCTTGCCTCCTAATACCACTCCTCTCCTCCAGCCCATGGACCAGCAGGTCATTTCAAATTTCAAAAAACAGTACACCAAAGCAATGTTTCAAGTGTTTTGAAGTGACCTCAGATACTCAATTGACCCTAAGAGAGTTTTGGAAAGATCACTTTAGTATCCTCAATTGCATAAACCTTGTAACAAGCTCTACAAACAAACCTGGGAATGGGGTCCCCCATCAGTGCCGTCCTAGCCAACTTATACATGGAACACCTAGAGTCCGAACACTTCGCCAACATCATCCCTTCAAGCATCACTTGGTTACGTTACGTGGACGACGTCCTCGTAATAACTCCCAAACGTTTTGATGTACGGGATCTTCAGGCAAGGCTCAACGCAGTTGAACCGGCGATCCAGTTTACACTAGAAGAAGAGTCCAATGACAAGCTACCTTTCCTCGACGTCCTCATTCACAAAGTAGACAACCTAAGATTTCAAGTTTATCGGAAACCCACCAATAAAAATGATCTCACACACTTCTATTCCAGTCAAGATACCAAGACCAAAAGAGGCATCATCATCGGGTTTTTCCTAAGAGCATACCGAATTTGTAGTCCTGAGTTTCTTGACGAGGAATGTACATACATTCACCAAACATTCACTGAGTTACATTTTCCTTCTTTTTTCATCAAAGACTGCAAGAAAAGAGCTCTTAAGATCATTAATTCTCCACGCATCAACACCACTCCCAACAAAGTTATAATTCTTCCCAACAGTCAGGTTGCACTGAACGTCTCAAAAGTACTTTCACAAGCTAACACCAGAGTCGCCATCGCTTCTAGCACTTCAATAAAGGATCTAACCAGGACAAAATCCAAGCACCACGAACCAGTCAATGCAGGAGTTTACACTATACCCTGTGGAGGCTGTGACAAGATTTATGTAGGTGAAACAGCAAGAAACCTTGACACCCGCCTCAATGAACACATTTACGCATGTAGGAACGATAACTTGAACAACGCCTGTGTACAACACCGAAATTCCACCAATCATCTCATGAAATTCAGAGACGCCCAATTAGTGATCAAAGAAACTAATTTCCGCAGACGCAATTGCCTCGAATCAGCACTGATCGCTGTTTCGAATACAATTAAACAAAACAACGGCAGTTTCACCATCTCTGAAGTCTTAGCAAGAATCCTCCTGAAAACAGTAAATCCTGCCATCACATAGTCTCTCCTGTTATACTACACAAAGCACATTACAGAGAGCGAACACTGAAACAAGCTGCCTCTTTCCAGTCTATATTTGTCCAACCTATTTTTATGTTACCCAAGTAATAGCTTTTACAGTGGACCCCCGCATACCGTTGGCCTTACATAACGTTAAATCCGCATACTGATACGTTTTATCGCTAAGATTTTGCCTCCCATACCGCTAAAAAACCCGCTCAACGCTGTTCGTCCGAGACGCGTCTAATGTGCGGCCTTAGATAGCCTCACATGTTCCACCGGTGGCATTGTTTACCAGCCAGCCTCCGCGGTAACATCCAAGCATACAATCGGAATATTTCGTATTATTACAGTGTTTTTGGTGATTTTATCTGCAAAATAAGTGACCATGGGCCCCAAGAAAGCTTCTAGTGCCAACCCTACAGGAATAAGGGTGAGAATTACTATAGAGATGAAGAAAGAGATCATTGATAAGTATGAAAGTGGAGTGCGTGTCTCCGAGCTGGCCAGGTTGTATAATAAACCCCAGTCAACCATCGCTACTATTGTGGACAACAAAAAGGCAATCAAGGAAGCTGTTCTTGCCAAAGGTTCAACTGTGTTTTCGAAACAGAGATCGCAAGTGATGGAAGATGTTGACTCTTATTGGTGTGGATAAATGAAAAACAGATAGCAGGAGATAGCATCTCTCAAGTGATCATAAGTGAAAAGGCTAGGAAGTTGCATCAGGATTTAATTAAAAAAAATGCCTGCAACTAGTGATGATGTGAGTGAATTTAAGGCCAGCAAAGGTTGGTTTGAGAGATTTAAGAAGTGTAGTGGCATACATAGTGTGATAAGGCATGGTGAGGCTGCCAGTTCGGATCACAAAGCAGCTGAAAAATATGTGCAGGAATTCAAGGAGTACATAGAAAGTGAAGGACTGAAACCTGAACAAGTGTTTAATTGTGATGAAACAGGCCTGTTTTGGAAGAAAATGCCAAGCAGGACCTACATTACTCAGGAGGAAAAGGCACTCCCAGGACATAAGCCTATGAAAGACAGGCTTACTCTGTTGATGTGTTCCAATGCTACTGGTGATTGCAAAGTGAAGCCTTTATTAGTGTATCACTCAGAAACTCCCAGAGCGTTCAGACAAAAGAATATCCTCAAGGCTAATTTGTGTGTGCTGTGGAGGGCAAACAGTAAGGCATGGGTCACTAGGGACTTTTTCTATGACTGGTTACACCATGCATTTGCCCCCAATGTGAAAGATTACCTAACTGAAAAGAAATTAGACCTTAAGTGCCTCCTGGTGTTAGACAATGCCCCTGGTCATCCTACAGACGTGGCAGAGCGACTTTATGGAGACATGAAGTTCATTAAGGTGAAGTTTTTGCCTCCTAATACCACTCCTCTCCTGCAGCCCATGGACCAGCAGGTTATTGCAAACTTCAAAAAACTGTACACAAAAGTTCTGTTTGAAAGGTGCTTTGTAGTGACCTCAGAAACTCAACTGACTCGAAGAGAGTTTTGGAGAGATCACTTTAATATCCTCAATTGTGTAAACCTTATAGGTAAGGCTTGGGAGGGAGTGACTAAGAGGACCTTGAACTCTGCTTGGAAGAAACTGTGGCCAGAATGTGTAGACAAAAGGGATTTTGAAGGATTTGAGGCTAACCCTGAGAGGAGTATGCCAGTTGAGGAATCAATTGTGGCATTGGGGAAGTCCTTGGGGTTGGAGGTTAGTGGGGATGATGTGGAAGAGTTGGTGGAGGAGGACAATGAAGAACTAACCACTGATGAGCTGATAGATCAACTTCAACAGCAAGAGGCCAGACCTGAGGAAACTGGTTCGGAGGAGGGGAGAGAGAAATTGAAGAAGTTGTCTACTACAAAGATTAAGGAAATCTGTGCAAAGTGGCTGAAAGTGCAAACCTTTATGGATGAAAATCACCCTGACACAGCTATTGCAAGCCGTGCTGGTGACTATTACACTGACAATGTTGTGAAACACTTTAGGGAAGTCATAAAGGAACGAGAGGTACAGGCCACTATGGACAGATATGTGTGCGACAGAAGTCCAGTGACTCTGAAGC